CCACAGAATGTCAGAGTGTCCTCCCACGGCTGTCAGAGTGTCCTCCCACAGAAGGTCATGATGGCACAAGCACCGTTGAACCCATACCCCACTCCAACTGGGGTATGTAGTTCAACGGAAGATGGGCAGGGTAGGGGCCTTTGTATTCGCGCGGAAGAATTTTTCAGCACCTTTCTTGAACCAAGAAACAAAAACGAAAGTCTGTATATTTTATACACCTGGCAACAACCGCTGGATGTGCAGCTCCGGATGCATCTCAGACGTCGCGTGGGGTCACACACGTTGAGCTAGTTCAACGTTGAACTGGTTCAACGGTGTATGTGGGACTTAGCGCTGGGCCTTGTGACGGTCCATAGACCGTCCGATCCGGGATGTGACAGTAATCTAGACAACAACCGCTGGATGTGCAGCTCCGGATGTATCTCAGACGTCGCGTGGGGTCGCACACGTTGAGCTAGTTCAACGTTGAGCTAGTTCAACGTTGAACTTGTTCAACGGTGTATGCGGGACTTAGCGCCGGGCCTTGTGACGGTCGATAGACCGTCCGATCCGGAATGTGACAGTAATCTAGAGCAAAGTACAAGCACACACCTTGAATTTAACAAAGTACAAGCACACCGCTTCAATTTTGGGGCCCCACCGAAGTTGGCACCAATTTACTTATATAACGCCCGGGCGTTATTTTCGGGTGAAGACGGTAATTCCATCTGGATTCGAGCTCACATCTGTATTTCCACAGTTCATAGGTGTACCAACTGGTACTCATTCATTAATCTTCTTTCTCTGTATCGCTCCAATTTGAAGGATGCCCCGACGAAGGACAACAGTTCCTTCCTTCCATACGTTCTGGAAACATCATTGAGCACGTAAACAAGACAGCAATAGGAATAGTACAGCATTGTTATTATTATCGACTTATTATTATTATTATATTTTACTGTAATGAAAGAAATGAATGCAATTACATGTAATAAAGGAGAAACAAAACGTACAATAAACGCCCAAGGGCGTCAACACATAGGACCAAATGCATTGCTCCTACCCGCGCACTATTACGCACGTACACAAGACATCCCCCGTGTACCTACACACACACACACACAAAACACCCTTCTCCCCCGTGTACAGCCACACCCACACAAATCACCACCCTCCTGCGCACACACACAAAAATAAACAAACAAACACACATACGAGCATACACACACACACGCAAACACATGCAACTTTCTTTCCTTTCCCTTCCTAGTTCATCTCCCGCTCTGTCCTCCTCCAAGAATCCATCATCATGAAGATCGAAATAATCAGCGACGACAGATCTCTTTCCTGGCCCTCAGCCAATCCCGCAAGATGTAAAATCTCTACCATATTCTCAAAATACGGCACCGCAGGATTGTAACACTTTCTTTTGCCCGCTCTTGACTTTCAAAATCCCATCGCTAACACTTACCACTCTCCTGGATTCATCGTGGAAAGTCGGAAAGCAACCCAACCATTTTCATTAATCATGGACGCCGCGCGTAGGATCGACGCGCGTAGGATCGCGCATCCAAAGGACCCCATCACATATTTCCTGGTAATTGCCGGCCATCGTGGCCGGGCTACTTTTGCGATCTAGCCTCACACATTTCGACGGAAAATGATTTGTCGCCACCATGGGGCCCGCTCAGGTTTGCAAACGCAAACAACAAAACTACGACAGCCCCTTGAGTGCGCCTGGATGTGCATATGCGCAAGCGCATGATCCGCACCTGGGCCTGTCAGACGACAGGTGCATTCTGACCGGGGTAATTTGGTCCTTCCAAACTTAACACTATCTCGATCCCTCGGCTTAAAAACGACACACAGAAAAAAAAAAAAAAAAACGACACACACACACACACACACACAAACACACAACACACACACACATGACGACGGTTCGGTACTCGACACCGTCACGACTTCATGGGCATGCCACGTGGCCATTGGGGGAGAGAGTTCTGGGGCTCCCAAAATCAAAGGCTGTGTGACGATCAAACAGCGCCGAGGACCAACCAATCACATATTACACACAAACAAACACACACACACACACACACACACACACACACATGACGACGGTTGGGTACTCGACCGTCATAACTTCATGGGCATGCCACGTGGCCATTGAGGGAGTGAGAATTCTGGGGCTCCCAGAAACAGCGACTGTGCGACGATCAAACAGCGCCGAGGACCAACCAATCGCATTCCCCGCCCAACGCCGACCGCTCTTGTAATCCCACCCCATTACCTTTTTCCTTCGCCGTTGAGGTGATCAGAGCACTCAGATTGTGAAACGAACGGCGCACAAGAGGCGCCATGTGGTCTACGAACATGTAAGCGTCACATAGCGGTAGCACACCGACTCCCTCCCGCCTACTGTGTCCCGCTTAGGCGCCAGCTGTTTTCCTTCAGTCATCCCCTGGAAGTTTCACCGATTACCTCTCTCTCTCTCTCTCTCTCTCTCTCTCTCTCTCTCTCTCTCTGTGTCTCTCTCTCTCTTGTCACAAATATATATATCTAATATATATCGTCACAGAGTTATCAGAGCGCAAAAGCGAAAAAAGCAAAAAACAAAAAAGATATCAATTCATTTTGTTCTCTTCTTACTTACAACTCCCCCTGTTCAGAACCTCTTGCGTACAAGCCCGCCCACGTGGATGTGGTTGAGCGGCGGCTGCCCCCACCCTCGTGGGTCATATCGACCCACTTGCACACAGCCAGAAGGCAAAGAGGCAAAGAAAAGAGGAAGGGAACAGCCAAATGTAACAAAACAGGGGGCAGCAAGATCCTGGATGACAAGCCCCACATATAAGCACCGCCCCGAGCTTCACAACTCTCTCTCTCTCCTTATGTGAACAGACGTGAGCATTTTTGGTTTTACCTTCACCCGCACTCGACCCATCCTGATTTTTGTAGTCTCCCCACCCTTGCCCAGTCAGTTTTCTTTTCACCTCACATTGACCCAACCGGCCCGCCTTTTCTTTTCAAAATTTAAACCCTTGCACAACCCCCCCCCACCCGAGAAAGGGCCTCACCCCGACCCGCCCGAGCTTGCGATCACAACCATCATCCCCCGCCCACTCAGGAGCTCACAGCCGCCCACAGGTGCACACGTGCCCATTGCACACGTGGTTACCACTTCGCATTGCCACTGTGTCATTGCAACAGAGCATTTTTAGGAAACATAACATTCCATCATCCAAGGGCAAGTGCACACTAGTCAGCCCCTAAAGCAAGCTACACTGCGCAGAAGACTCGATAAAGTCCAGAATGGGACATATTAGTGATCCATCTTTCCGAGCCAATCTTTCCGCTTTTGCAGTCAGATTCGTTTGGTTTTGTTTTCATGCGGGGAAGTTAGAACCCTTGAAGCTCTGGAGGCCCGCCTGGCCAGAGAGGTGCAGTGCTGCAGACTCCGCCAGGTCCAACTTTTTGAGGGGGGATAGCAGGTCTGCCACTGACAGCACATTTGGTTCTTCTTCGGGAACTAGAGAGGGTCAATGTTTACCTTTTCAATTTCTGTGGGGGGGGGGCGGGTAGGTGGGTGGGTGGGAGGGGGGTGCCCCGGGCAGGTGTTCTGGGTTGGATGACCCAGGCCAATGCCTGACCCGCTCAGAACCCACCCAGCAGACAAATGGCTGGGTTGCTCCCAACCAACACCCAGGTTGGCTTAAACAGACCTAGACCTGATCCATCCTCTCGTGGGTCAGGTGGGTGTGGGTGTGGGTGGGTGCGGGTGTGGGTACCCGTTGCTCACCTCTGTATGTGACCCATACGCGCGGCCTCTCTCATCAACGCACGTCAACGACATTGTCGATAATAATTTCTGATAATGCCAATAGATATCGTGAGCTGACGGTCAAGCGAACATCCCACGAATGCACTCTATGCAGGAAAATACCCGTATGCTGACGTTCGTGCTTCCGAGCCTGACAGCGATGTTATCTATGAAAGGAAGAAAAAGAGCGCGCCTCGCCGTGCGCCTCCGGCGGAAGGGGCGCGGTCTGGCTTCTTACACTGCTGCCACGTCACTACTCGCACGTCGGTGCTGCCACGTCACTAGTTGCACGTCGGTGCTGCCACGTCACTACTCGCACGTCGGTGCTGCCACGTCACCACTTGCACGTCGATACTGCCACGTCACGGCTGCCACCTCACGGCCGCCCACTTCTGAATGTTTTAAATTAGGGTACGAAGACTGACGGCACCTGTTCGTATCCTTGCACGGGTATCAACGCGTCGCCTGAGAGCGGTTTTCACACATGTCGCCCTCGATTTGGTATGCACTCCAACGAGACCGACGATGGCTGTAGAGCGTTTGCGTTTGTGTGAATGAGACCGAAGGACGAGAGGAACTATTCGGTATGATGAAACGGAGGACGAAGAATTGAAAGGAAGACACGTGTCCGTCACCGCCAGAGGCAAGCTGGAGAGGAAAAGGTACTCAGGCAGATACTGTCCGGTCATTATTGGAAAGGGAGCCAGAGGCTGACACGCACACATCCAGCATCTGAGCAGAAGCCACAGACTGACGTCAGCGCCCCCTTCGTTGTGCAGCCTCCCTGCCATTCGTGCGGACCTTCGTCGTGCAGCATCTCTGCCGTTCGTCCGGACACCATGTAAAGGCGCGAGTCACACTAACTCTCTCGTATCTATCTTCTGTAATTAATGCCGCCCGTCTTCCCCCGAACACAACGCACCCGCATCACGAATAAATGTACGCAAGCTATCTTTCCGGCTTCATACTGTCACTATTATGAGGTTGAATTGCGTTGCGTTCGAGGGCCGTGGAAGGGGTAAATACTACGGTAGGGCCGACTACCCCTCTCGGAGTTCAGTCGCTCGCTCATTCATCTTCTCATGTACACAAGACTAACTAACAGCAGGACCGTTTCCAAGGCGCATGTGGACCCGATTTACGAACGCATTCAGTCAAAACAACAGTAGTCTTCAAATATACATACATACATACATACCTGTTCTCCGTCAATCTCTCGAGCATGCGGCATGAAGAAGTTGAACGTGAGCTTATCCGGAATCGCTGCCGGGACCTCCGGTCTGGGTTTCATGAATTGGCTCGGGATCGTCGGGAAAACGAGGTTCGGCGCAGCCTTCTCCCATTTTCCTCGGAATTCTTCCAGCTGTTCTCCCAAAGGCAATGCCGCGGACGAGGTAGCGAACGCTTGCTTCGTCGAGGGAAAGGCCGACTGTAATGCGCCGCCGCGTCCGGCCTTCAGCAGCAGCCGAACAGACCGTTGCGCCAGCATCATCTTGATAGATTGATTCGAGGGCACAGGTTCAAGACTATGGTAGATTAGAGAAGAGAAAAGGAAACGGGCGGCTCGGCGACAACGTTAGTCCCTGCCCTGGCTGCCGCTCGCCGCGTCCAACCTTGTCCGCCCCCCAGCTTTCAGCGATGGCAGCACCCGCTTGCCTTGTGCGGCTTGACGGAAGCTGGACCACGCAGCGGAACTGTGGGAATACCAACATTTCTCTCTCTCCCTCTCTCGCTCTCACCCCACTCTCATCCACGTCCCGGCATTGCACACGCGCCATTCGTTGTCGAGCACGTTTTCTCCGCTCCCGCCGAAACCGGTATGAAAACCACCGGCACGCCGGGATCAGAACCCGCTGTCCGGCCTGGGGGCCGACGTTGTTCGGTAACGCTGAGTTGGAATCAGGGAGCATGGGTTCAATTCCCCCTGGCCTCATGTACACCCTGTTGGATGCTCAGTGACTGAATGTGTGCAGGTAAGCCCTTGGCACCTTAGGGGCCGGGAAAACTGATGCTGTGTTTGTGCTTGGGTCGGGGGGCATGCAAAATTGCCAGATTCATGCATTCGTGGAATCAATTGCACCAGCGCCCACCAATACTTTACCCTCACAGCCGTCGCTACGGTAGTTTTGTCAAGTGGGGCCAAGTACTTGTGGTTTGATCCATCCTTTCCTGCCAAACTTCTTGGGTGATGCCCATTGTCTTCAAAGGCTTCCCATAAGCTATATTCTTTTTCTTTTCTCCTCGACTATTTTCGCCTCCCTTATTGGCTGCTACAGTAGTGCGCTTCCCTTCATTGACTCACCACTGCCTCTCTCTCCTCCCTTGCTTCCGTTCAGGGGCCACCCCTCTAAGGGGCGATCTTGCTTAGTTTTTCTAAACAGTACCCTTTTGTGGGGCCTACCCTAGTATTCCCCTTTCACTACCCTGGAATACGACCCCTGATTTGTGTTGTCATTTGCTGTCTTTGCAATGCCAGAGGTTTGAAGTGTCTGTAATGATGTGCAACCAGCTGTGATTGCATATGCTTTGACAGTGTGTTGAAGTACATATACATGACCAGACTATTTTTCACATCCACATTAGGTTCCTGAACTAATCTTTCAATCTTTTTTGATAGGTCATCGACAAAGATTCAGTGCCACTATCCTTTAGCCACTATCTGTTGTAATGCTCATAGAGATCGCACGAACTCGAGTAGGTGCTTTGTCAAACCCTGGGTAGACCAATCTTACATCTCAAAGAAAAAAATTAAAAGTTGTATTTGGGAACGAAGGTAAGAGAGTTACCCAGGCCAATTGCATCATTCTTAGCAAACCAAAGTATTATCATTATGTCCTTCGTGAGTCAAATAAAATGTTATTTGTGAATCAAGTGAAATGTTATCTTTGAATTAAGTGAAATGTTTTTTTTAATACAAACAATAATAATAAACTTATATGAGAATCTTATTGGTGAGGAAGAATTTTCCAATGTGCTTGATTCTGAGTATAGATTGTCATGAGAAAGCTAACCCAAATATTAAGTTCAAAGTCAAAATTTATAAACTGAAAGACAATATAGGTGAGCTAAAGCCAACTAAATTGTTTTACGAATCATTCATTGTCTTTAATGTATGAATTTACCTGCCTGTCGAAGTTTTGTCACTAAGTCAAAGTTGTCACAGGAGGTCATAATGGTTCCAGTGTAAACTGTGGGCGAAGGATCATCTTCCTCTCCACCTATAACTGAACCTAACATTGTAACAGAAAGACCCATAAAACTTACTATGAAGAGCAAGAGGGCGGCTTGAGGGTCCTCAACTTGAAGTTACAACTGGTAGCGCTACAAATCAGAAAGTTGTTTTGGGTATTTTTTAGGACTGTTGAGGACCCGTGGTGGGAGGTGATACACCAGTGGTTAGCCTTTACATGGAGAGTGTTGTCAATGGTGGTTTATCTTTGCTTCACCAATGTCAATATAATAGGCCACATTCATAGGAACACAGTCTGATCCACCTTGTTGTTGTTGTGGAAAGGGAGATTCATCTCCAATGTAGGTGTCCAGAGTGTGCAGATGCAGTCTTCAATCAACTGCTATTTGACAACAGGTTTATTTATGATGTGGAGGGCGATCCGCTCTCTTCGTTGGGAAGGGTGGGCACATTCAGACGACAATTGGCAAAGTAGGGGGTGTTTAAGGTGGGCACATGTGGGATGCCCAGAGAGGGGATTGAAGGTCCGATGAGAAGATAGGTGAGTAATCTACCTCGACAGTTCAATAGGCTTGAAGAATGTGGGAGTTGTGGGAAGCCATTCCGGTGCAGTGGATCAGGGTATTGAAGAATAATAACTTGCAAGCAAGGAATCGGGTGAGGCGGAAGGAGGAGTTTGTCCCACGGATATTGTATAGAATTAAAGGGCGTTAAGATGCTGGGAGGTAAGTGGCAACAAAGGGGTTGGTCAGATCGGGTCTTTAGGGGTTGGGTCTCCCATTGGTGGGGACTGGGGAGGACGGGGTACCCCACAAATGTCAGATTGACCCCCTAAGCATAGAAAAAGTTTCAGTTTGCAAAGGAGGAAAGTATAATCATCAGGTGTATGTGCCCCTCTGTCCCAATATTATAGTGTTGGACCCTCGAGAATGATTTTTCCCCCTCCAAAAACATAATACGAAGCGTGTCCCACTACAACAAACCACGACTAAGGCGATTTATCGGTATTTGTAGCCACGCATAGATATAGCGGCAGGGCTTAGGGATAGATGGACGAAAAGTGAATGGATCCTCTCGTTGCTTATCCTCAGATAGACGTCTTAGAGATGAAGGGAGCAATGCACGGTCATAAAGGTCTTGCCCGACTAAAAACAGGCAGGACTTCTATTGTAGATCTACCACCTTGTTGTCCCCACAATGCATTGGTTAGCAACGAGATCTCGGTATAAAAAGGAGCGATATTCGGGCCCGAGATGTGGCCAAATTAAATTTATCCTAATCTTTTGTATTATGCTCGGTGGTGCCCGAGTTTTTGAAACAGTGGGCGACAACCGTAAACGAGTCATCTCCATTGGTCGCAACAGAGGAAGAGGATGTTATTGTCATACTAAGGGCACTAATGGTAGTGGATAGAGTGGGCAAGCATAAATTATTTACAGCGAAGGTAGTTAGAATCACGGTGTTGTAGGCAATTTGAACACTATAAAATGAGTGTATCTGTTAAGGAAAGGTCGTGACTGCGCATGGGATAAGAAATAGAGTGATGGAAAATATGAGGGTGGCATTGCTTGTGGACTTATAAGCATAGACATACTTCGCGGAGCAACCTCGACAAGTTTTGAAGAACCTGGGGCATACCCATCTTTGACAAAAAAAAAAATATCGTTAAGCAATTTCGTATTTGGACCAGTGCTACAGAAGTACGCCCCATAACTGGATGAGTAGGGGGCAAGTTGGGGGTTCAGGGGAGTCGGTGCTTCGTTCTTAGATCGCAACTTCAACTTGTGATGTACTTTCTATTACGATAGAGCAGGATGTGCAGTTTTTTGTGTCTTGTTAGTGTTGTGTATTACAGTAGTTGGGGATATGGGATCGAGCAGTGGGGGGGGGTAATTAGATGAGGAATGGGATGCAGTGGGGGTGATATATTTGTATCTGCAATACGGTGGGAATAATAAGGAGCTATATAGAACTCTGGGCTATTTGGCTGGTTTTGGCTGGAATGGGTGGTCATGGGTCTGTGAATGAGGCTTAGTTGTAGGAGGTGGGCTTATCTGTAGGGGTACCCAGTGTGAGGTGGTATAGCTGCCAGGGTGCTCGTGGATCGGGGAGCCCTTGCCCCGCTGTGAGGAAACCCGGAAAGGGAATTCCCTGTTTGTCGCTGAAGCCGACAACTAAATCGTTTGTGACCCGTTGCGCCCGCTTTCGAGGTCTCCAATGATCGACAAGGGGTCTGGGTTTCTGTTCCTTGTGCCTAACCTCCGTTTGAGATTTACTGCTTAGATCACTAGCAGATAAACCTCTAAAAGAAATTCAAAATAAAATAAAAATTTTATGCTCGCAAATATAAGAGTCGGCGCAAAACCCTTGTCCAATAGCTCTCTGTTGATTATCAAATTTGCAAAGCGAAATTGAGATTCAGATTGTATGATAAGGATGCCAAAGACAATCAAAACCGCAAGGGTATTACATTGACCACTCACTATCATATCAGGTTTGTAACTTTTATGAGTTTGAGGACCCAACTGATTAGTGATTCCAAACAAGGTTCTGGTTGAAACTTGGGCAAGCCTTAAGGGTACTAGTGAAATTTTGGGTAAAACCCTAGAGATGATGCTTCAAATAGTGCAGGGTACAACCTTCTTTTAGGGTTGCTCTCACACGCTCTAATCTGATGCAAGATGTTGATCATCCATACATCGTTCCTCTTTCGAATAAATAAAATAATATAAAATAAATTCGAATGTGCGTGCTGTTAAATATGGGTTGCATTCAAGGGCAGGTCCGTTCATAGTTCTTCAACCAAAGTATTGTCCGTGAGCGCTCTATCTGGACATAGTAATGGTACGCGATTTGATCGGAGTAAACTTTTATGCAGTCTATCTAGAGCATTTTATCTAAACTTACCTTGCCCTTGCCCTTTTACCTACCAAATAAGGAAAAACCATAATGCCAGTTCACTAGAGCATGAAAAGATACACAACCATGTCCTTCATTGGTCAAGCACAATACCTCGATTATTCTCCAAATGAAGGAAAAGAAAATGATCCTTTAAGTAGGTCATAGAAGTCACCCAGTCATTAACCTTATGTGTAGTCCGTTAAGACCCTGTGCGGATTACTCACCAATTAGGCAGTGAGAATGAATTTGGTACTGACACTTGACAATATACATTGCCAAATTATACACTTGCAGTGATTTGTGACCTGCCTGATCGTTCAACAACAAAGGAGAAGAAAAACAAGTCTTCAAATGTTGGTTCGTCAATCATAGCGCGATCCCCCAGTTTAAACACAGGAGGAGGAAGATAATTTTTTTTCTTCAGGCGGAGAACGAAAAGATACAGGACGTAACTTTTAATCCATTGTTCCTTTTCTCTCTAATCCGCTCTCCCTTCGTACACGTACACTCCCTCTCGCTCTCACTCCCGCTACTATTCCCCCCGTTGGCTCACCCTCTTTCTTCCTCTCTCTCTCATGCACATATGTTCTCCATCACTCTCTTTCCCTATACGCTAGTATACACGCATCACTCCCACTCACCCATCCCTGTTGGATGACTTGGTTGGTATCTCATGCTTGTACCCCAAACACCTCGTCATCTG